CAAGAGCGAAAAGTAAGTCTGGATAAACAAATTGTCCTCGTTCTCTCTCCCATTGCCTTTTTATGCATCCATTCATCTATCAATTCATACATTTAGCAAACAAGTCAAAGCGCAACAGCAGCACAGCAGGTGAGCAGAACCTGCTTTGCTGTGGAGCGATCTCAGGTATCTTCAGATGTAGCATGTGTACCATGGGCAGCCTCAGAGCACTTAAAGTGGAGAGATCCGAAGACTGTGTATGTGTGTGCGCACCTGTATGTTGGTAGCATTGATCCCCCTCTAAGCCTTGGTTATTGCTTGTGGCCTGAAGGTGAGGTGACAGGGGAGTAAAGAGGCTTTCATCAGATTACAGCTCACTCTCTGTCTTTCACCGTCTCTCTTTCCAGAATCATTTATCTCACTGCTGCCTGCTTACAACCACTTTGCTCTTTCTTTCTCTTTCTCTCTTGCTGAACACTGGACCTACTTTAAGCCACAGTGTTAAATTTGTCTTCAATCCCACATGGATCCATTTGGCTCCTTCCAAAAATCCCTCACAAGCTAAGGGTGGCTGTTCAGAACTCTGACTGCACATCCAAACGCATGCTTTCAGAGCAACCTATTTTTATAAGCATTTATCTCATTCAGGTTACTGAGGTCTACCTATCTAGGTCTATTCATACGGATGAATACATGAATATTGTTTGTTACAGCGGGAACTGATTTGCCAAGTCTTTCAAAACCATTTTGCTTCCATTTCCTACATATTTATTTTTTACAGATGATTGTGTTGTTTCTGCTCTCAGCGAAGAATAAAGACACTATGATAAAAAAGAAAGCCAACCCTTACTACTTACTTTTCCCTCTGAAGGTATGACTGCAAGTAACAGTTGTGAAAGAAGTAACCGCCATGTTTCGACAGTAGCACAGAACAGACAAACCAAACATTGGTTCTTTTGCATTTTTCACGTTTCATTGCCGCCATAATTTCTCCTACATGCTTGGAAGGGGAGGGTCAGGCGAGGGGGATTCAGTTAGTTGCAATGTGCAGCCTCACCGCTAGATGCCACTAAATCCTACACACTGGATCCTTAAGTAAGAGCAGCAATTCCTCAATACATGCAGTCACAATCAAAGAAGCAGAAGCCTTATCAGCAAAATGTGCTCAAATAGTCAGAGGTAGAAGAATTACTCTGTCTTTTGTCTGTGATGGTGTGAAAAGAGGACAAAGTCATGCAGGAATGTACACACACACACACACACACACACACACACACACACACACACACACACACACACAAATACACAGTTTCTCTGTATGTATCTTCTATCTTGTTTCTGCTCACAGCTCTCTCGCTCTGTAGACACGTCCTGAATTACTGAATTCAATTGTAGCTCTGTTGGCTCAACTTACTCTATTTATTTGTTAATATTTTCCTGCGCTGGCACACACATACAAACAGTATTAGGATTAATGGGGAATGTCCAATAGCCTCACCAATTCCTTGACTAAATTTAGGTTAATTATTAGCCAATTCTCATGAGGATGAACCAGTATTTCCTATTCCAAAAAGGCTTATTCCTGCAGTAGTCAACACATTAAGTCCACACATATTGTACACACAACACATATACAAAGTTCTGCATCTGCAACACACTTTTTTCAAATATTGTTCGCATGTACAACAACATTGGCAGATGCAGCAGATGTGTCAGCTTAGATGGAAAAGAGACTCTTTCAGCTACAGGCCAACATTACAGCCAAGCACACACACACACGCGCCACACTGCCAGAGGGCTCTTACGCGCTGCAAGTCAGATCTGGTTGAAACCTGACGCAGTCCTCATTACACTCTCGCTGTCCTGACCACCATACATTTAGCGCCTAGAGTGCTCAAATCATTAAATGGACGTCCAGAGGGCCTATTGGAGAGCTGCACAACAAACAGCAATGTATCTGACCATTTCTTTGAACTAGTGCACGTGTGGTGTGTGTGCATGTGAATACGCCAGTGGGAAGGACAGCACTGGTGTGTATTAATGGGATTAGGATCGACCCTTTCTCCTCTAACTCTTCTCTCCTTTCTTTTTTACCCGTCTGTCTCTGCCTTGACTATTCTTCGTCTATTTCCCTCATTTTATGGGAATTCTTTCTTTTGTCTGTCCCCAATTTTTCATAATGCATAACCCCCTCTATTTCCCCCCTACCTTCTCTCTTTCCCCTTCACTCTTATATTTATTGCTCTAATAACTAATATCTCCCCTTTTTCACTCAGTCTTCCCTCACTCGTTCTTTGTCTGACCTCTTTAACCTCCCATCCATCTTTCTCTTTAATATATAACAGAAACATTGAGGCCTGTTGCAGACTAGCTCTGTCAGACAGAGAAGTCCCTGTAGACATGTTGTGCTCAGTCTTGAGTCAGACTCTTCTTAGTTTATGTTCACTACACTTACATAACTCGTCATCAAAGCAGTGCGCAGTGAGTGCGTAGGAACACAGACAATCCATGTATCGTATGAATGAAAGTCTCTCTGGTACCCAGCCTCACCTCAACACTGAGATCTATTAAAGCAATCTATCCTAATACTGATTCAAATCCTGGAGTGAGTCCATTTTTTACAATTACTTGTCAAAGTTTGTTTGCCTTCACAAGGCAGTTTTCTCCCATGTATTTAATTCTAGTGGAATGATATGTTGCAGAGGGTTCAGATAAAAAAAATTATTTGCCTGTTTAAATCCTTGGGAACCATAAGCCTTACCAGATTTTTCACACTCTTAAAGAAAGGCCTTAAAGAGACACAATGTTCTACTTCTGGCCAAACTACAACAACAACGCCTCATATGTGGGCCTAATTCAAACCATTTTAATAGACTTCTGAAAGATTCAGGGTTGAATACTAGTGCATTGTGTGTTATCACGTGCCTATCCCCTCAATGTCCCTTGGTCTGTTCATTATCTCATCATTATCTTGTCTGAAACACAGACCTTACCATTCATTACTAGCCACAGATATTTAAATGTGATATCAAGAGCTGCCATTATTAATTATTATTAACACTGAGGAATCAGTAGAGCACAGTGCATAAGAATAACACCTGTCAGCTGGAGTAGTGAACATGCCATTGGGCATAATAGAGAAATGGGGCTCTGACTGGCCTGCTGGTTTGACCATTTAGAAATCATCAGAAAGTAAAGTAAATGTTTCATTTTTCTCAATATTTCCTCTAACAGTGCCCTGTTAGGTGACCCCCAACTGCGCAGTTGCCAGCAGTATATGGCTTATTGCTCCCTGAGTTGAATGAATGAACAATTTTAGCCACATTTTATCTGATTAATATCTGTTATTTGGTGTTCAGTTCAAATGTAGGTTCACTGAGTTTGAATTAATTCCCCAAAACCAAGACCACAGCTTCAAAGTTCAATCCATGAAAATGAACCACAAACTGAAGAAAGGGTCTTATTAAAAGATTTAATAGCTCTACAAAGTAAGAAACGCTGTGGGTTGACACCAGCGCACTCATTCAATGCACCGAACAAAAGCGCAGTCAGTAACTAAAGCTGCACAGTGGTTTCTCAACACGTCCTCCCATGGTGTCTTTTTCTTTGCATCCTCTTTTCAAATACTGCACAACCCTGAAATGCATCATTATATCTCAGGAGATCTTTATCGCTGGGATGTAATTTTACTTTTCTAATGGGCTGTGCCTGGTTTTTTCTTTTATGCGTGGAGAAGGCCAAAGGGTTCATTATAACCTGTAATTGTATTTGAAATTTGAGCGCACAACAGCCAACTAACAGTATAATCATACCCTCTATTTTATGCTCTTTGCATCTCCTGCTCTTGTATTTCACTGTTACATTTCTCATCCTCTCCTGTAACATCAAAGTGGGAATGTACAGTATGTAATTATCTGCAAGTCTTTTGGTTGCAAAGCCTTGTGTGTCTCCCCCTTGCAGCATGTGGACAGCTGTGCACACATTCTCTCACATACAGCACCAAACACAGTGGAAGTACCAAAAAAAATATGGGGAATGAAGCAGAGAACTAAACTCTTTTTTAATGCTGAATGGTTTCATTTTGATCTATTAATGAATAATGTTATCTTAAACTGCAGAAGTTGGAGAGAGAAAACACAAGTTCAGGCTCTGCCATTTTCAGAACAGAACTAGTATGTGGTACAAAGACAATATTACGTTTAACAAAGGAAATAAAAGTAAAATGCCTGCACACTTAGCAGGCTCGCTGCCTATAATTACTTCTTCTTTGCTCGGGCAAACCTACCAATTATGAAGATGTTTCATGTGCTATTACTGTGCCCCGAAGAAGAGAGGAGGTGGAGAGGAATACAGTGGGAGAAAGAAAATATTTCCCCTCTTTTCCTCTCAATGTTTTGTTTTTGCATAAACTCCAATTAGCTTTTAAATGTAGCTGTGTTGTTAGATAAATAGATAGACAGACAGATAGATAGATAGATAGATAGATAGGTGGATGGGATATGGATGCACGTGAGTTTCCACGACTGCAAATCAATTTGCCTCCCAGTGTTTACACGCTGTCCAACCCAATTATGCACACGGGTATCAAATTCAGAGTTTAGTCTATTCAATTATTAATTCCCACACATCATGAAGGATTCATCTGGCTGTCACTGATAGGCGACCGTTGAGGAGGTCTCGAAGTGCTCGTGCCTTGCGCTCGAGCACCAAATGTTCCGTTAATGTTCCGTTTGAAAACAATAGAGGGAAAACAATAGCAGAGCGGAGGTAGCCCTCCATGTGTCTCGTTTCCAAAGACAGTTATAGTGATGGGCATACGGCTGTTGGCAACGTAATTGCCTTTTGGGAACCATTTTCACATGAGGAAAAAAAACATGTTATTTTGGCTGCTGGGTGGAGATAACAGTCAAAACGTTACACTTTAGTCTTTCTTTGTGGCCCTGGGAGACAATCCAATAATCTATGTGCTGCGATAACACAACAGAACTGTAATTAGAGAGAGACAAAGAAAACTCACTCACCTCAGAAATGCAACATATTATCGTTTTTTCCCTTTGTCGTCCCCGAGTCCAGAAAAAGAGAGGAAAACCGATTTTTTTAAAAAGATAATAATGTCCACTTGTCTGCTCGGTCAGCTTTAAAACCCCGACATCATGATCTCAGTCCAAAAAACCAGCGAGCAACTCCAGAAGAAAGAAAACCCTGAAGCTGAAGATGAAACAATGCTCAACTCCTCTTTCCTCTCCTCCTCCACCACTCTTGGCTTCAATTTCTCACTTGCTGCCTGTCTCTCCGCGTCCAGACAGACTCGCCGTTGTTGTGAGCCAGTACCTCATCTAATATTGAACACCGATAATGGGGGGAGAGCAGTGCGACGGGAAATGGAAAACGCTGCTCTTTCGGGTTTTTATTCCATGTTTACATCATGCTATCTTATTATATCCCCTCCTGGACGAGCAGTGTGTGCGCTTCCTTTGTGCTCCCTGTCTCGCTCACACACTGTGGATAACGGGTTAAACCATTCCCGCAGCGCGAGAGGGGGGGGTAGGTGGCGGTGGTGGTGGTGGGGAGGACCTATTCATGTGAATGTATGGGAACGAATGGGCTTGGTGACTCGTGGCCAAATGTTGTTGTTGTCGGGGATAAAGAGACGGGGAGACAGGAGGAAGAGACGAGGGAAAGGGGAGGAGGAGAGGGAGAGAGAGAGAGAGAGAGAGAGAGAGAGAGAGAGAGAGAGAGAGAGAGATGGGAAATGGGAGGAGGGGTGCAAAGGAGGTGTATTTGAGATACAAGGAAAAAGCTTCATCGGAATTATTGCAAAGGGGAGAAGTGATTAAAATAACTGGCATTGTTTATATTTAAATGATAAATTGTTATGGTTGTTGTTTTTGGCAGATTATGACATGATTTCTGTTAAGCACGCTCTCATGCTAGATTATGCAACAGAGATATAATTACATCCAGTGTAATGGCATGGGGGAAACCTTTTTTTTTTGTTCTGCTGCCTGATACTCAGCACCAACAGGCTGTTATATAGTTCAGGACCTTGGACAGCTCTCAGCCAGCACCAGCCACCTGTGTCAATAAAGAGCTGCAGATTTATTCACATCATTAGAATATCAAAGGAAATTTGTTTTAAGGATAATGTATGGGTTGTTATACACGAGGAGGCAGGATCAGGGAATTTAACAAAAATGTAGACAACTTGTGGTTATGATCAGGCCAAAATGAATTCACTAATAACATCACTCAGAACAGCTTGGTATGTGTGATGTTGGCAGACTCCCGCAGAGGGCACGTCTGCAGACACTCAGACTTTGAGCAAAAGCAGCCAAAAACATAAAAATAATATATATATAATCACTAACTCAGAGCTTTGTAAATACTGTTTGTATGAGGATATGATATGGGCCAATGGCGCCATCTCCTGGAGAGCAAATTAGCTCCTTGTGTTGACATGTGCAACCTAACATAATTTTTTTCAACCAGATAAAAAACCCTGTTGTAGTCTATAAGGACACATATAGTTCAGTAGGCTATATCCTGAAAGACACACTGTAAGAGTATCAGAGCCAGTGCTTCACAAGTGGCTTACTCCATCCTGGAAAACATTTTACAACTGAGGCCTGAGACGTCTGCTGGGTCATAATTCACAAAGAAATGTCAAGTTTTCATCTTTAAAACTTCATCGTCTTCACTGGTGTCTACAAGTATTTATTCTTTCTAATAAGACTACAATAAAACTGTATAATAGGGGTACAAATCACATACTCCAGTAATGCTTAAATAATGCATCATGATGCAATTATGATGATTTAATGCACGAATTAATGCGGGATCATGAATACCTGCTGCTCATCACTAACAAAGGATCAAGTCACTATGACTGATTCATGTTTACGCTTAATAAATAATCAGTTAAGGAATGCTAATTCAAAGGTTCTCCATACATGACATACAAATTAGCTGGATTCCAGTTACATAAAACTTTACTTCAGCCTCTCTGAAAGCAGAACAGTAGTCTTCCTCTTCTCATAGAAATATTAAGCTACTTTTTATTCTTCTCAAACTGGTCGTCAGCTGCAAACATTTATATAATAAATATAAATGCAGTAACATAATAAAACATGTATAGAACTAACTTTTCTAATATTATTTATCTATATGATTTGTACCCTTATTATAAAAGTGTTTCCCCTTATTCCTTGAGTCACTTGCACTGCTGAGCTGCTCTTCAGTGACACTCTTTCGTTGACCAGGTCTTCGTGTCACTTTACGTGTTACGTAACGTTGTAATATCAGAGACAGATGGCTCTTTGCAGCGTTAATGCAAGCAAGCCTGGCTGTTTCGTACCTTTTACTTGCTATGAGTTGTTGGTTGGGAATGTTTTGCCGGATATTTATGTTTCCTACCACAGAATTGAGATATTTATCATTTTAAGACTTGGCTTAAGCCAATTCTAATGTAAAAATTTAGATTATAAAGACATTTTTACAAGGTCGAAAGTGCAGAATTGCCCTTAATTCTTTTTTTCACATTGTAGCTTTACCAAATAGGTTTACCAGTTAATTTAATGGTCTCCCATTATATCCAGTTTTCTTGTGTGGACGCGCAGCAGCATCTGTGCCTTTAAGAGCATCTCTGACAGCATCCTCCTCTGTCACGGACGCGCACACAGCAGCTCAATATTTGAGAATACAGCTTAGCTTTCTGCACACACACACACACACACACCTTCCAAAAGATACATCATAAAATCACACAAGTACATTTATCAACATTTTTTCTCCACTGGATATTGATGAATTTGCCTCAACGGTTGCCGTAGCGGTCCACCAAGATCGTTATTGCTTGTATTTCCTTCCTTCCCGCATCCAAAGACTGATCTACGCTGCAAGATGGCTGAGTTGAATTTGGGGAAGGGGCTGACTGCGGGGAAAGTGGCCAGCAACGTTCAGAAAAAACTAACGAGAGCCCAAGAAAAGGTAAGAGCTGCTCACCAGAAAATGTGAATGTGTGGGGAATAATTATTCAGGCCTACAAGCAGCAGTGCCGCTGCCGCATCCTCCACCGAGGCGCAGTGTCGCATCACGACATCATAATAATACGGACAAGGATGCTGTGTTTGAGGATGTCCACTTCAAATGCATCTTTCCTGAAGTCAATGTCACACAGCGGGCACGTTCATGTTGCAGTGAGATGAACTGTAAGGCCTACTCATAATTTAATCTCTCATGATTTGGCCCATGACTGATGTGTTTTTGGCATTTTAAGGCGATAACTGGGTATCTTTGTGAGTGTTTGTCACACAAATGGTTACTGCAGGAACACTTTCTTGCATTTTCACTGGCACCATGATAATAATTATATCCCCACTGCAATGTGTGTGTGTGTGTGTGGGGGGGCGTAGATATGAGGCCTGGTCTATGCGTTCATGCACCTGCGAGCTGTGCACTGAATTAATGGCAGGGGGCGCTATTTGTCTATCATAATGCATCAAGTACTGTATAGGGCTTAAAAGACAGAAGGGGCGAGAAAACAGATAATGTTACCCCTGTAACCCCAGTGTGCGTTATGTATGTGTGATGGTCTGTAATAGAAATAATGTATGTAATGCATGCATGCATTTACTGTCAATGTGGTTACTGTCAGTCTGTTTATTTATTTTCTATTAGATTAAACAGCATTTGTTTCATGCATGTTCCCACTGCTCTTTTTAACGTTGTTTATATATATTGCATTGTATACTGATTTTGCAATCCATCAATTTTTGCCCATGAATGCAAGTAAATCATATTTGATTGCAAACTTAGAAGAAAGGGAGAGATCAGGCGAAGAAAATGAATATGTTTAATAATGTACAGCATATAGGGAACATGTCCTTTCTTCTGTCTTGAAACTGAACAGAATCAATCGCTGACCTTATCCTTGGTATTGGTCACTAATGTCATTTGTTTGACCGACAGGTTCTTCAGAAACTTGGCAAAGCCGATGAGACCAAAGATGTCGCTTTTGAGGAAGGAGTGATCAACTTCAACAAACAATATGTGAGTACACTCCAGTGTGTGTGAGTTAAAATTAAATAAGATGTATTGCTAGATATTTTAGTCATATCTGTCTTGTCTTTACACACTAAATTTTGAATTATCTCAAACACGTTTTCAACATTTCGTAGAATGAAAAATGTACTGGCTCAGTTGGCTTGTAACATCTCTTTACATTGTTTTGTGGTCTGAGCCTCTTGTTTTGTGTTTCACCGCCAGGCTGAAGGCAGCAAACTGCAAAGGGACCTTAGAGCATACCTGGAAGCAGTGAAAGGTGAAAGTTCATACAGATTCACATTGCTGTATACACAAATATACACACACACTTGCATGTACCAAGCCATTCAGGTAGACACACAATCATTTAACCTGCATTCAATGATATTCCACTAATGTAAAATATGTCTTTATGTTTGTCTTTAGCCATGCACGAGTCCTCCAAGAACGTGCAGGCGTGTTTGGCTGACATGTATGAGCCGGACTGGTATGGCAAGAACGAAGTGGATTCCATTGTGGAGGTCAGAAACACTTTTCATGAATTTGCTTAAAATACCGTACATATGTGAGAGTGAGGACAAGCTGGTTTTCACATAGAGGTCAAAACCACTTTATGATATTGTATCTTAGTGTGAGCGTGTGTGTGTGTGTGTGTGTGTGTGTGTGTGTGTGTGTGTGTGTGTGTGTGTGTGTGTTTGGCTCCTGATTAGCTGCCACACAGCAGCTATTTTTCCTAGAGTACACACAGCTTTATGTAATTGTGTTCCTTGGATATATATATTTTTTTTTTTTTTGCTGTCCTCTTGACAGCAAAATTATAGGGTAGCATCTCTTGTGAGACATGTTGAGTTGGTCGTTAAATTGTCCTCTGACTTCATTAAGTCTTTGGATTTATTGGTTCCTAATCAACAAAGCTACAGAAGCTAGCTGCAAGGAAGTACTGCAATCAGTGAAAAGAGGTTTCAGATTATTCTTAATTTAGATACAAGACCTCAAGCCAAGACATAGCAACACCACTACTGCGATTAACTCTGAAGTGATGAAGAAGTACATCCAGGAAGCAAACTATTGCAATAAAACATTGCAGGCAGTTTGTTATTAATACTTACTTTAGTACTTATTTATCTTTGACATTGTGTGTTTGTGATTGTGTATACTGTTATGTTCATCCGTGCTGCAGGACTGTGATGTACTGTGGACTGACTACCACCAAAAGTTGGTTGATCATGCTCTCATCTCCATGGATACTTACCTGGGCCAGTTCCCTGATATCAAGGTGTGTGGTCATAAAGACCTGTAGCAACCCTGACCAAAAATGAGTTAGCATCTTGTGTGTCTAGGCTTTCCTCAATATGATACTGTGATCTTAATGAGGTTTCATTAAACATACACAACTGTATTTGTATTTCAGTTGCATTGAATTATAAGTATTTAATACAAAATGGCTGCTGAAAATATTTAAGATGGAAAAACAGCTTATTTAAAAAAAAAAAGTATTGTAATATTGTTACCTGGAAGCTAACAAAAACTAAATGTTTGAAAGATGAAAACTGAGTAATCGTGTGCAGGTGGAAACAGTGAATAACGCAAATACTTGTTATAATATTTTCTTTCAGGCACGTATCGCTAAGAGGGACAGGAAGCTGGTCGATTATGACAGTGCCAGGCACAACTATGCCACCACACACAAGACCAAGAAAAAGGACGGGGGCATTAAAATTACCAAGGTAAAACAAATACAAAATATTTGTAGTATTAACCTGTATCAATTTTACTGTATCAACATTTAACATATGAATGATCTCTCTCTGGTTCTCTTCCAGCCCTCCTCCTTGTTAGAGAGGGCCACTCCAGGCTGGGCTCAGGGTATCTTGTCTGCACACAATGTTGCCCAGAGCAGTCTGTCCAGGGGCCAGGTACACAGTACTCTTACAGCACTTCCTACGAGGTCTGGTGACTGTATAACAATGATAAGGGGTGTCCTGGTAGCTCAGCGGTCAAAGACACACGAGATGTTAATAAGGAGATCCTCAGTTTGAGTTTGTTTTTGCATGTCATCGCTCTATTTTTTCTGCCCATGTTCCCTGTCACTTGCTACTGTTAAATATCTAATGAGGAAGACAACGAAGATGACAACAACAAATCAACTGCAGCCAAACCCTGCTCAAGCATAATCATGAGTGTCAGGGGACGTATCAAACATCATCAAACACACACTCACAAACATGCCCTAATTCATTGTACCAACACGTGTGTGCGCGCGTGTGTGTGTGTGTGTGTGTGTGTGTGTGTGTGTGTGTGTGTGTGTGTGTGTGTTTCAGGCTGAGGAAGAGTTGGAGAGAGCACAGAAGGTGTTTGAGGAGATTAATATTGACTTGCAAGAGGAGTTACCTTCACTCTGGAACAGGTGTGTATATATGTGTGTGGAAATGGATTTTCCTGTTGATGGACGGATGCTACAATTACGTTTCACTTACATGTATGCTGCGTTTACCCTCACAGGATATTAAACTAAGTAAAGCCAGTCATGAGTCAATACTGTCTCTCTTTTTCTTCCCTCACTAGTCGTGTTGGGTTTTACGTCAGCACCTTCCAAAGTTTGGCTGGTTTTGAGGAGAAGTTTCACAAGGAAATCAGCCGGGTGAGTGCATCGACCTCCATTGTTCCTGAATTTAGATAAATACTAGACTAAAGAAAATGACACAGTGTATCAGATAAAAGTTGATGGAAAATGTTGAGTTTGGATTACATCAGCAAGGGCTGCAATTTAATCTAAAAGTGTCAACATTGCGCTGCCCTTCAGCACTATTTTTGAAACCCTATTATGGTTCATTTCTTATTTTTCCCCTGTATAACAAAAGTAGGACATTGGGTTTTAACTGACTGCACTGAGATTATCCCCTGTATTACTGCCTTAGCTTGAGAGTTGTAAATACTGTCTGAATTTGGACATGATGATGCAAACTAGCTGTAGCAGACACACATACTTGGCAGCACTTTCAAAATATTACAGAGCAGAGGGAACACGAAACACAATGTAATGATTATGTCATTGAATGTGTATAGATTGTACCAGAACAGTGTACGATCAGGGGAATCCATGGGTGAACTGGGTAGAGATACTCAAATCAATATTTTGGGTGAATGCTGTTGTTGTTGGGTATGATATCTAACACCCCATCTTTCCCCCTCTGCAGTTGGATCAGGATTTGTATGACACCTTGGAGACACTGGAGAGAACAGACACAACAAGCAGGTTAGTGAGCAAAGGTCCATCATGCAAACTGCATAGCAAGACATTCTACTGCAGATTCTTTATCTATTAATTACTTGACTATTTAATAATTGAAAGTGTCATTACATATTCTTTCAATAATATTTTGATTCTGAGTGGAATTAAATGTCAAGATATCTTTTCAACATCTTGGCATATTGTGAAATCTAATAATATAAGCAATACAAATAAACTAATTGGTGACAGTGATGCTACTTAGACTCTAAAGTACTGGGACACTGTGTAAAGGTTTGGTCTTTCTATGTTGTTTATATTACATTCAGGTAAAAATGCAGTAACCTCAGGTTTTAGCAATTCTATAAACATCCCCTGGTCTACAGCTGTTTGTGTGAGGCTCATCGACCAATCACTGTGGTTGGTCAGCAAAGAAAATACTTGCTATGTTATATGTCTATGGCTCCTTCTATGCTTGGGCAAAAATAAATCATTTCAGAAATGTTGCAATGCAAATATTGCAATGCAAATATTTGAAACGCTTGAGAGCACATAATTCATCATGTTTGAAGTGAAAATAGCAGTAAATAAGTGGAAAGTTATTTTATATTTAGTAAGAGACCGAGAGACCAATTATTTTTTTTCTCACAATAATTTTTCTAATTGCGTTACATTATTAACTGCAATTTCATTTTAGAAAACAATTTTCATACGTTCACAGTATTTTAGCACCAATTTTACTAAATTTCTAGCCAAAAGAAAGACACGACAGCTACATAACTTAACTTTGAGTGCATAGAGAAATTAAAACTCACCTTGGAGAAGGCATAAATACTTTTTTTTAGAAAAAAGTAATTCTGTAATTTAGCCATCACAAAACCAGCTTCCCATACAGAAGTGTTACACTACCATGTATTCAGGCGCTCCAGAAGTACATTTTAGGTACAATATGCATATTTACTGTCTTTAACATTAACAGTTGATTAAATTTCTGTGGCAAGTACTCTTGGAGGATAAATGATGCACAAAAGTGTTATCCATCTGATTTTACTGACATAATTTGATCTCTCAGGACATTGACTAAAACATTACATATCAAAAACATTTAAGCTACAGGAAGAGACAAATAAAATGGCATGCATTAACCTGAAGCCACCCCTGAACCTCCCCTTACAGAAAGACAGGTAACAGCGGCGCCTCATCGTCAGGAACAAATAGGAGGTAACCTGCAGCAACTGTGGTAACCATGGTGACACAACTTTTGTCCGTCTGTCCAACTGACCTGTCTGTCCAGCTATCTGTCTGTCAGTCAGTCTGCAGCCGTTTTACTAGTTTTCTAAGGGACAACTAGTGCTTGGTTGTGCAAGTGAATTCGTTGACACGCTGATCAGAGAGTTGAGAGCCCAGAGCTGCAGATATATAAGAGTTGAGTAAACCGGCATGTTCAGTGCTGCACCAGGCAACAGTGTTACGTAACAGTACAACCTAAACCACAAGGTATGCAGTATCTCATCTCCCACTAGGGTATTTTCAGTCACATCATTCTTTGTTTGTGTTAGATCTTTGTTAGTATCCTCTGGTAAACACACAATGAGCGTGCTAGCATGTTAGCTATTGGGGTAATGTACTTTGCCATTTGAATCCACTAGGGGACTATAGGGCATAAATAATTTTCTGGGTCCCAATAATTTAGACTGCCAACTCCGCTCCTCTGTATAATTTGTACAGTTTTTCTACAGTTTATGCTCCTTTGCTGAGCTGTGTGGTAACTGAGCTAAACAAATGAATTCAGAGATACGCAACACAGAAGCTCAAAACGGATATAATAAAGGTCTTAACTGTATTAAGCGAAGGCCTCAAGATCAGGTAAGCAGGACCCACTTTAGGGCCCTTATCATGTCAGTTGATTGCTTTGGTGGTGCATATTCCCAAACATAGTTACAAATAGTATATTAACAAAAAACTGCAGAGACACAATAAGCCTGGAGCTTGTGGGGCTGACTTTCAGCCTTGGTAATGTGGAGTTTTCAAAATGATCTTGCTGCCTTTTGAAAATTGCCTGGTGAAGCAATAAGTTGCAGGTTTACCAACCTATAAAATATCTACAGATCTGGGGCTGCTTTTGAATGTCTCTATCACTGCTCGCTTGTGACGATTTACTCGAAGCGTAGACAAAGCCTTCTTGCATGGGATTGGAGGGAAGAAAAGGAGAGGAATGGAGGGAAGGGAGGCTCACTTCTCTTGCATGACAGCTCTTGCAACGACAACTTCTGCTTGGACTCTTGTAGAGCATGCCTTATAACATAGTTTATAGCTGCTTTTTTAACTTTTAGTAGACCTTTTTGTTCTCACATTGTTTGCCATCTTTGTTACTTTATCTGTAATGTTTTTCTGTTCTCTTTTTTGCCCTCCACCTTTCTTTCTCCCTTATCTACTCAGTGTGAAAGAAGCATCTAACCACACTCTCAGGCCAGGAGGACCACCACCAATCCCCAAATCTCCATCCAAGGTATACACACACTGTCTCTCACACACAAACACACACACACACACACACACACACACACACACACACACACACACACACACACACACACAACACACGCTGAAGCTGTCTCTGTCTCCAAACAGGTGTGACTAATAACACAATAGTTATGGCTGAATTCATGTAGTAGCCCTGAGTCATTATTGTACTCAGTTACACCTGTGCTTATACTCCAACAACAAATCAAAATATCTGCTGAGTAAAAGAAGAAATTTGGGTTATACATTATTCTTTCAACAATGTTTTCATTCTAATCTAATACTGCCATCTAGTAACATGATTTTGTAATTTTGAAAAACATTTTAATAAATCCATACAAAGTTTTACAAAATGCAATTGGAAAGCTTAATGCTCAGATGAATTATTTGTACAACATTCAAAAACAGAATGCAGCATTACAATTCAGAGCCCTGGATTTTCTGAACATTTCTGGCATAACTTTATCACCATGTTTCTTTCTCTGTCCTAGCTAAAGCCAGCAGTGCCTCCACCACCCAAGGTGACCCCATGTAAGGAGTTGAAAACAGAGAACATCATCAACCTGTTTGATGCCGCAGCCGCTCCTGACATCAGCGTCACCTCCCCTACAGAGGTCAGTGACCAGCTGCTGTCGACAAACAGCCACAGCACTTTAACTTCTGGCCTGCCCTTCCTCCTACTTCTCCTATTCTATTTCAGTCTGTTCTACTCTGTTTTGCTTTCTCTTCTACCCTGTTCCTTGCCTTCTCTATTGCGCCCAGTTAGCCAATGAGCCCTCCTATTCCTGTTGTTATCAGTTTGACAGTCCTGCAGTGAGCAGCCTGTTGGACATGGACCTGGACCCTTTCAGTGCAGCAACCAAAGCCTCCACGGTCACACAGGTGGACGATTCATGGCATGAACATATAGATCGTAGAGACCCTTGACTGCAAGAAATGCTAAGCTTCACAAGAGATTTTACACTCTATTCAGAAAGGTTTGATTTCATGATATTTAAGTCCAAAAGAAATTCAGTTCACAATCAGTTTTAAATGCTGGCAGTGTAGTTGTTTGACTTTAAATATATTGAAACAAACTTGATAAATTTGAATACAAAAATAAGTCACTTGGAAAGCTTGGCATCGTTTGAGGTGTTACCTGCTCTGTTTCTTTCCAATTTACCAAATGAGAGGTGGATGATGGCATGATGATCTGTTGAAACCTGCTTTTAGTGACCACTTCTTCCTGCTTCAGCACTATCCACAGATCACTCATGGCATGAACTGTAGGCTAAATCCCTGCTCGGCTCTACTTCTTTCTCTTCAGAACTGTACAGCAGAATGTAGTTTTAGATACTGGGATGACATGAGTCATACTTTCTTTATCTGAGCATATAGAAGGTGAGATAAAATAAGTATGCTTCATGTTATTTGACTCATTTAAAATAGATTCAGCTTCTGTTTGATCCAGGTCTGCTACTCAGTACAGCATTCCAATACGTGACAGATGAATGGCATGTAGCCTACTATACCTCTACCTTGATCCTGTTAGCACAGTAGGTACCTTGGAATCAGCGATGATTAGTGATATTTAAATCTGAAAACTCACTTTCTGTAAAGGATTTTTAAAAATAGACTGTATAACTGTAACATGTGTTCATGGTTATAGGGCTTACAATACTGTCAGTATCGTGTAATGACATCCATTGTTACAGTAATGTAACAAATTGTTTACAGATATGAATCTGATGGCTTGACATGTGATGATTTGTAATGCAAATAGTGGACAAACGTGCTGAGAACGTTTACTGTATGATTGAGTAAATCATTTGTTTTTAGCCAAAAATTAAATTAAAAGATTATACAGATTATACAGTACAGTACAGATTACCTGTGTGCTACCTGTGACTAGCTGATAAGCTAAAGAGACAGAAGTTTTGATATTTTTCTTTGGAACTAGTGGAGACAAAAGAGAGAGAGAAGAAAGAACAACTCCAAATGGATGTTAATGATTCCTCTTATCAGAACTATGAGTCGGCCTACATAGAGTATACAGAGTGCAGTTAGCTTTAACTATAATGATAAGTCAATGCAGTCCTGTCACAGATTGATGAATGAATTATCTTCTTTACATGAGATGGCTTCTTTAGTACAAATTAGTTCTTTCTTGTGTCCCAATTTTTTTGGGGGGAGTAAATAATAGGCTATTTTTGCAATAAGGCAAGTGAGAACTGCGAGACATTTATACAAGTTGTGTCAAGATCTAATTTACGTTGTTAGGGGAAATTGTGTTGATTCTGAATGAAAATGAATGAAATTTGATTTTGAGACTGACTGCTTGTTTTCCAGAACACCTTTCTCTTACATTCGGCTCACTCTGTGGGTGACTGATATGAACAATAAACATATGAGAGTGGCCACCTCTTCAGACTTTACCTAGTATTGCCTGTACTCTTGTTCTGCTGGAGATCTACTGTTTTGGGCTTGCAGGTTTAGAGCATGGGACCTACACTGGAAACATTTATTTTTGAATGAAACAGGCATTAAGCAACAGCTTTGTGAAGGGTTTTGTGCTGTCTTATCATTCTGTTGCTTCCTGTTGCTTTTTCCACAGCCTGCAAACTGGGATTCATGGGTAAGCATATCATCCTCATCTTAATACACGTTTTAAGTCGCCAAAGTTTATAATTATCAATATGATCATCATCTTCATCAGCATATTCTTATTTGTGTTCATCGTACCCATCAATTCATTCATTTTTATACAAGCCCCTTCTGTCTTTATGCTATGTACCTGAATTATGTCTGAGTAGGGGCTTCTATAATGGCCATCACCATCAATGCATCTCTTTCATTTGTCTGTCCCAAATCTGTTTGTGCGTTGTCTTTGTGTCTGCAGTGCTTGATGTGATAACACTAAACACTGAACACTATAAAGATTGTTATACAGCACAAATAGAACATGGGAATGAACGTGGGTCAATTCAGTTTCAAATGGACATTTTACACTATTATATACAGTATGTTCAATCAATATTTTGGTGCCCGATCACCAAAAATCCTGCCTCTGATGCAGAATACGTGCAAGATGCACAGTATATTGATCATATACAGTATGCTGTAGATCCGAAACCTTTACAGATATCATACATTTAATCACATATATATCTATAAATTAAAAATCCCTCGTGTATGAAATGATTTGTAACTGAATTTACCTCCTTTCTGTTTCCCTTCATCTCCCTGTATGTTCACATGTTGCACTGACCGAACATGTAGCTGTTACATGCATACAGCTGCAAACAGTATATGCTCCATGTGACACACAAGGAACAGTTTTGTTTTCAAAGTTGAGTGAAGTTGCTCATGTTTTCAGTGGATTGTTTCATAGGGAAACTAATAAGAGCTAGTGGGCAACTTCGCCTTGCTTGAAACTTGGCATTCTGACCATCAACTAACCTTTTTGTTCATCCTTATCACTGTAAGAGAGATGTGTCTCAGCAAATATACAGTTCTTCTGTATTAGAGCTTGTGGCAAAGCAGTGATACCTCAGAAAGGAACGACACAACTACTCTTACAACGCTTCCCTCCTCTTTCTCCATCTGAACATAGCCGTGGGAATATAAACCATGCTTTCTAACTACACGCAGAAGATTCAACATCTATTTCTGATGGGAAAAGGCTTTTGCATTTCTGCCTTCTGCTGCCACCTTTCCTTATCTTCATCTATCTTTTATTTTAATATGAGCCTTATATATAAGAATTTTCCTTCTACATCAATCTGCTTGGGTCTTATGATGATGATGATGATGATGATGATGATGATGATGATGATGATGGTGATGATCATGATCTGCTGCTGAACTCCACATTGATCCATGGCATCTTTCATGGCCCCGTTTCTGCTCATAAATTGCAAAACTACTCCATATGTCCTCAGATTATCCTTAATTACTAATAGGTTTGACCTAATGACCCCCAAAGCCCTAAAAAAAAGGCCAATCTCGGGGGTTTGCAGGTTTTACTAATCAAGCAATTTTCACTATCAACCATTTTCAAATGGCTGTAAACTTTGGTACTGTGGTGCTTTGAGTAAACTGCTAACACCATGCTAACATGCTCACAATGCTAACATGCAGATGATTAACAGGCATAATGTTTGCCTTGTTTGCTGTCTTGTTTTAGCGTGTTAGAATGCTCACATTTGCTAATTAGTGCTAAAAAGAAGTTGGGGCTGTTGGATAGAGAAATGAAAGTATAATTTTGACCTGATTATGGCACTTAAATAAATGTCAGATGATCCACAAAATCATCAGGAATGGTCCTCTGGGCACCTTGAAGGTCTGTACCAAATTTAATGGCAATCATTCAGCTTGTATAGTAATTAAAATACTTTGGTCTTGAACAAAGAGCCTTGCTGCTTGCATGGCTAAAAATATAGTATGATGGAATATGGTCAGTGTAAGATATAGATATATCAAATATAAAGTTAAGCTAATGGGCTTATAATACAACCCTTATGTACCTTTCCGTGCCCCTTTAATATCCCTATCAATTTCCAAATCCCTTGTCCATAAAAAATATGAAACTTTGTTCCTTGCCCTGTTGTTTTGTTCATAGACTGGCCATACACCCTATGCAAAAAATCTTAATTCTTCTGGTTCTCCTTATTCCCAAACCTTTTCTCCCATTGGAATGTTAAACCATTGAATCTGTCCTTAAGTATCCCTTATACCTTTCTATCCTGTCCCTTAAAAGTTCCTCAACCGTTTGATTTTTAAAACCATTATAATACCCATAAGATAAAATATCTCTAATGCCCTTTGATTCCTTGAAACCTGACCCTTGCTCCTCAGCCTGAGAACAGTGGTGCCCATGAAGAGGACACCCAGGAGCACTTTGACCCTGTGGCTGCTGCTACAGATGCCTGGGGGGATGACGGTTCACAGCCTGTCCACTATGACCCCATAGCAGCTGCGACAGAGGGCTGGGGGGATGACGGAACCAAACCAGTTCGCTATGACCCTGTGGCTGTGGCTCAGGAGGGAGGGGGGGATGATGAGAGTCAGCAGGTTCATTACGATCCTGTGGCTGAAGACCAGGAGGGCTGGGGCGATGATGGGAGCCAGCTGGTCACAGAGGTGCTCGCCACGGAGGATGAAACACCTGCAGCTGAGGCCGCTGAGGAAGAAGCCACATTAGCTGCCGCTACGTTGGATAATGAAGAGGGTCAGGTAACCAAGGAGAGAATAAAAAAATGGAGGGATGCATCTGGACGAAAATGGTGGATGCATTGAGATGATAGAGAGATACATTTTGAATGAAAGGTGGAAAGATGGAGAAATCTTGAGATGGAAAGATTTAGGATGCATCTGGACAAGCAGCATGGATGCATCAGCTGTGACACATAGGGAAAGTTGGAAATTAATTGCTATGGGAAAGAGAAGAGTATAGCCATCTGCTCCACACAGTTAATCCCAGTCGCTGCTAATCACAAATCCATGCACATAGTATGCTGTGCAAAAGCTTTACCTTTATGGCAACTGTGCACTAGTAACCAAGTTTACTGTCTATTCAACATACTTGCTTGTATTAGCCATAACCTTGATGTTTAGGCTGTGTGGCTTGTCCTTTTGTCTGTCTTTGTCTTGTCAGTCTGTTCTTCTTTCATTCTTTCCACCTCCTTATTTGAATCGTACATCTTTCTCATTCTCTAATCTCTCTCTTTTATTCTTCTGTCTCCGTGCTCCCAGGGTGAGTCTGCAGCAGCTGCTGCGACAACAGTCGAGGAAGCAGTGACAGAGGAGGTGAGAGCAAGAAGGACTACTATAACATGCAATAACTGTTTTAATGTATTTATTCTGAAAATCATTGATTGTTAATATATAATACACACTGTTATTAATGTTAATGTTTTAGGACATCTTTCAAAGATTCTATGATAGCCAATCATGCCTCTCCTCATTGACCAAAACCATACCATATTTAAGTAAAAAGGCGTATTTTCTTAAAATGCTGGAAAGATTGTAACATTAAATTACATTTAGCTGAAAACTTTTTTTTTTTCTAAGCTATTTCCAGTACAACATTACTTGATTCAAGCATTTCTTTTTTTTTTCAGTAAAGCAGTTTGTCTAGTTTCAAGTTTTAGACACTCATTAATAGAAAAAGTCTGCCAGCAGATTTTTTTTAAATCATGTTTTTATACAATAAGACTTTTAGGGCTCAATCATGTCTCTTTAAAAGATGAATATGTTTTTCATTGTGCATTACATGTCAGTAAGTGGAATCTCTTTTTTCTAGACACCTGCAGTAGTGCCCGAACCTACAGAAGAAGCATCAGAACCTGCAGACATGCCACCTGGCTTCCTGTTCAAGGTAACACAGGACACAGAATAACAAAATCTCAATAGTGCTGAACATCTACTTAACCCAAATATATTGTGTGTATATATGGAGATAACTGATGTTAGTATTTATGTGATGTAGGTCCAGGTGATGCATGATTATGCTGCCAACGACACAGACGAACTGGAGATGAAGACTGGTGATGTGGTGCTAGTAATCACCTTTGACAACCCAGACGAGCAGGTACACATACACCCACACACACAGAGTTATGTACTGTGGTGATAGTGAGGTAAATATGCCTTATTTGCATGTCTGTGTGTTTAGGATGATGGCTGGCTGATGGGAATGAAGCAGGAAGACTGGAAGCAGAACAAAGAAAATGCCGCTAAAGGAGTATTCCCTGAAAACTTCACCCAAAGGCTGTGAAAGAGGAGGACGGGACATCATTCCAGCTTCCTTCTTTATGTCTCTCTTCCTCTTGCCTCAATCCTACCTTCCCTCTACCTGATACTATGTCTTTCCTAGGACTTTGGCCATAGAAGCAGAGCTGTCACAGCCCTGGTGGAAATCATGCATTTCTAAGGTCTGCTACACTGTGCTAAAAGTGGATCTTGGCATTTCTGGGGATTTCTGCCAACATTTACAAATTGCAGATGTAGCCATTTCACAGATGCCACTCTTTGCTGCACTATTGTTGCTAATCAATACCGGAGCAATTGATTAGAGAATCCTGATCATACTGTATAGATGCAGGGATGGGTGCCTCTGCAATGGCTACCACTGTAATTGCATTATAATGTTTTGTTCTTAGTCATGTCACATCATAAACTCCCCACCACCATAACAGAGGAAATGTCTATCAAGACATGCTTTCATTCATCTGATACCGAGGGATTGAGAACAGTGAAATGTATTAAGACAATGCCAAGTGTAGCAGAGTAGCCACATATAGGCCCTAAAGCCTGTTTTCATAAAGGATTGGGAGGGCAGGGTAGTTACTAAAAACAGGCAAAACAGGATAGTCCTCACTATGTTAGCTCGAAACATTCACCCAGCAGAGTAACACACTGAAAAAGCAAAAGCAACTCCTAGCCGGCAAACCCTATACAAAAGAAGGTGCAGACGTCTAGCCAGCCAAACAGCACATAAACAGTGATGAATTTAATTAAACAAAACAAAATTATCTCATTATCTCATTAACAACTGGGCTTGAATTTTCAGATATCTAAAAAAAAAAGGCCAGAAGTGGGTTATTGAAACAAGTAAGTGTAATTTTCTTCTTGGTCATGCAGGTTTGTTTCCTCACCTGTAGCGTTTTGGTCATTTTTGGTGACTGACTGCAATGCTGGCCATTGATAAGTGACAGTGGAGCATATCAGGGGGAGTGTCAGTAAAGATGAAGCATTGCAGTTTTGGTGCCAGTATTTGTATTTGCTATTTACTGATCTGCAGTCACTCTAATCAGTCTCGGTGTCCTTCTGCTGTTGGACATATCTTCTATTCCTACTTTTATTATTTACTTGTAAAACATGGGCCCTTGGCTGTTGTATTAGTTTAAATCCAATGGTGGTATAAGTAGAACTAACCTGTTGTTAAAATCCAAATAAATGCATACATGCATATGCATTTAACTAGTCACCTGACACCAACCTAGTTAAAGACAGCAGGAATCTCAATATGGAAATGTTTTAAAAATCTGAGAAATGCTGGTCTTAGAGTCCCATAGAGTAGAAAAACACGACTGCTTTCATTTTTGACAGTCAGGGTTTTTATTCCTTGTTGTTTAAATTAGTGTGAACTTGTGTGGAGTGGGCATGTGAAGAATCTTTTCAAGGAATTTATTTAATTTTTTGTCACAAGGGATTCCAAATATGCATTAGCCAGGCTCGCTAAAAAGCTAGCCGACAAACTACAATATTGAGACGCTGCTACTGGTAGTATAATAGTTAGGCAGATATGATTACACCCTAATGCTAATCAAATATATAATAACTGAGCCAGCCTCATTCGTTTTTAAAAAAATGTGCCGAAAAACAATTCCTTCCGACGAAGACGACTGAACTCAAATGCAGATGATTCCGAATATGCACCAGAGCAACTTCTTTTATTTTTGTATGCTGCCAAGCAATGATTACATATAGCCTAATGTAACTATGTCAACATAATTGCCAACTTAGGATGTTATGGAGTGTTTTGTACTTCTGTCAGGTTTACTGCTCTCAACGTAGCCGCTTACTGTAGGTAGTTCAAACTATCTCACGTTCAGTCATTCATTCAGTCACCGACTCAGAAGAGATTCACCTTTCTCATGATGTTACTAACATGTAATAAGTGTGAGAGAAAATGGTTGTGTGTGCGATTGTATGTATGTATGTATGCGTGTTTATGGGTTGTTTGGAGACATAAATTCTTTATCTATAGGCTATTGTTATTGGACGATATCACCACCACCTACCAGGGAATGAGGTCATCAGTTTTACAGGAAGTTTTTCCGACTGGACAAAGACAACTCAAAACGTATTTGGGTCTTTTTCCACTGGCTGGCTATTATGGTTCCGGGTGTTATTGTGCATATGTTGTGTATAAGTGTAATTTTGCCAAGCTGTGATGACAGATACATATTCTATAAAGACATTCATATCTGTATGTGAGTTACTGTGAGCATGCTGAATTCCCATGTGTTGTTGTGTGAACACCCCTAATTTAAGACAATGATACTTGGGTCACTTTTGAGGCAATTTTCTTTCTTTTTTTTCAATTTTTTTATTATTTATTTTGTTCATTTTAGTAAGGGGATGGTGGCTGTTACTGTGTGTTTTCCACCGTTCCCTCTCAAATCGGTCCCTGATTATAATTGCTGGTTGTCCATCAGCCTTGCCTCAAAATGTTGCCGGGGTATCGTGGTCCAAACAGAGTTAAACATTATTACGCGGAGACAGGAGACACATAGAGAAATATTTTAAACCACCAGACTCAGGTGGACAAATTTTTTGTAATGATTTTCAGAATTTTAACCACTTGAGATGTGCATGAGTTTTTCATGTGTGTTTAAAAAGTCTCACGTGAGAGTATCACCTGCACATTTAGGTAAACCAATCACTTTCATATTTTTATTTTTAAATATATGTAACTTAGTGAGTGTTTCACCTGGGTCTGGTTCTCTATCTGTCTATATGGATGAGTCTCCTGATGAGCTATGGGATACGACAAAAAGGTTTTTCCTGTACCTAACTGACCAATAATAATAAAGATTACTTAGAATCTCCTTTTGTTTATTGATCATTTGTGTTTCTTCTATGTAGTCTGCTTTGATTTTAGCTGAAGGAATAAAGTGAGTTACTATTAAACAAGACTTAGACAGTTGAAAACAGCAGAATTATTTCTAATAATTGTTTTTGATTATCATCATTTAAAAAACCTATTTTCATTCCTGTTTTTTACTCTTCCATCCCCCAGAAAAAAACCCCAAAATAAGCAGTAGAAAGGGCAGAAAAACAGAAAGTGTCTTGCTCTATGTGCTGAATTCTGTTAATCTGTGGATTTTGCTCCAATTATGTCTTCTCTGCAAATAATAAAGCATCCAGCAGGGTGTGCTGTGTTCAAGGACTAACTCTCCACCCTGCAGAAGAAAACACATCCAGGCATCAGGAGGAGGAAAGAGGAGCGTTGCTGTGTGCTGCTGTCCGTGGTACTGAAACCAACCACCAGCCCACCCTGTAACCACAGCGATTCATGCTGCATTCACATTGTTCCAGCTGTTGTGATGCTACACCATATACAGTGATGACTAGCTTATGGTTGTTTATGTATCAACGTGCAACGGGGGATTATCAACACATGTTCAAAACCCAGTTGTTAGCCCTCATTGGTGATTCTTAAACAAAGAACCCAGGGCCCTCCTACCATAACAAGCACTATGTAAATTAAATACACATAGAGTAAACATTATTTCTTAGTACTTAAGTGATTATTAATGTATGGGGTATGACATTTGTTGCCAGCAAATAAAGCACAGAGTAGTTTTGGTTTAAAAACAACATCTTTATGTTTCAAATACAAATAGTATGCACAGGGTTGGCGAAAATAATAAAAGTTTACATTATTTTTCTAAAAATAGATCTTTAAATAGTCTCTCCAACAATAGCTTAATATACATATGTGACAAATTTTTTATCAGGCATATTGAATAACAACTTGGAGTTCCTAGATACTTGCCTTCACAAAGCGTACTCAGTAAGTGTGAACTATGAACAACATGTTTATCCATACTCTTTCAGCCACCGATCACATCTGCTTTCCATAGTGTGAAAAAGTCCAATATTCTGTGCCTTTGCCAATCTAGGTCTTAAGTCTTAGGTGATAGATGGAATACAAAAAAGACCATGCAAAGGAGAGCTATCAAGTAACTTACTATTCAAGATTGAAGAGATTTACTATCTGTTATTTAATATGATGCATAGCTTTTGCTTAATACAGTAGTTGAATACAGCCTGAGTGTTGTGTATGCCTTATCTAGATACAACTGACCTGAAAATTAAAAACCCGAATAACAATTAAAAAAGTATGTCACAATTAAAACCTTTTAAATACAATAACTAATAAAAAAAAACATGAAGATGTATAAATGAACCATATGAATCAGTTTGAGACCATCAAGTTGACTGAAAACAGATTGACAGCGTGGCCGTTTTGACCCAAAAGACAAATGTTGACACACAGCAACAGAGTAATAGTGTGTCAGTCATCGTTCCTTGCTATTCAATAGTTTTCCAACAAAGCTGTTTCCAGATGTGATGCTATAATGCAACACTAGCAAATTGCTACATTGCATTCAGTAAATACATAGAACCTCCTCCCTCATTGTCCAATTACATAATATCTTAATAATTCATTCTAATGTACAGTACAGGCTCTATAAAGAAGGGTAAAGAATCAGTGGATTTACTGCAGTGATGATTCCGACAGTAAACATTAAAGTTAATTTGTTGTCTTTCTTTACTTAGCATTACTTAACTGTATAAACACCTAATGTACGTAAAGAGCCTAAAATTACACCTTCAGTTCAGTCAATAGTTTTCTCCAGGCTACTCTTTTCTTCCTCCTTTCCCTTCTTGTTTCATTCATGCGTTCACCAAAGGGGTCACAGAAGGTTTAAATTTCTTCTAACTACATCAGTGAGCCCCAGGTTGATCTCAAGATGCATAAATGTTGACAGATTACAGTAACTACAGTACAAAGAAATGATGAAACCTTACTTCACTACCTGTTTTTTTGTTTTAATGAAAGCTGATCATTTTAAATTACAGTTTTTGATCTCTGAGGTGCTCTGAGGGGAACTTAAAAATAGTGACAAAGATGTTCAACTCAAAATTTAGGATAGGAGAGATACTGTCAGTATTTCTGTTGGTATTCAAGTTTAAAATTTGACTTTCTGTCATACCTCAGTCTTCCCATTCCTCTTAATCTTCAGGAAAGAATGAAATTGAAATTACCTAAAGTATAAAATGAATCTTCTCAGACCCCTCTCTTTGTCCTTTGCACAGTTTTACATGTTTATCTGTTTGGTGAAGAACAGCAAATACAGGTAAATAGAAAGAAATTTTAACTATAAAATCAATAGTCTTTGGTGGCCCCTCAATCTGTGCTTTGGTGCTCCTGAATACAGGTAAGTGAATGAAGTCATCAGTGTGAAACATGTCTCTTTGGCTCCTATCTATGTCCTTTGCTCAATCCCCCAGGGGTGGAACTGTCCAGCGTCCAACAGCATTTGCCCCAGCCTTTGTAGAAGCCAAGGGTACCAGTGCAGGCCGTCAGTCTGCGGTTCTGAAGGTCCCATCAGGCTGTAGAAGAACCTCAGTGGGGCCAGGACCCAGTGGGCCAAATGGTGATTGTCCACAACAGCATAGCAGGATGCCAGCACACCGTTCACCACTATGGACCCATGTTGGGTTAGTGGGGCGTACAACCCGGTGCTCCTCTGTTCTTCCACAAAGGTCACGACTGCAAGTGTTGCCTGTGAGCCTACTTGCCCTTGTGAAGTACGTACGCATTGTCCTGGCCGGACATCACTGGCAAAAACTGTTCTCAGACCTGCTTCTCGGCTAGGCCTGCCCCCCTGTATAGAGCCCAAAAGTGGCTCTTCGGCTGTCTCTTCCCACTTTGGCTCACTCAGCCCACCAGTACAGTCTGTGACATAGATTAGGTGAGCAGCTGTGAGAGTAATATTAAGTCCTGTCTCAGTGCCAAGGATGTAGAAGATCTTTGAGACATTGGGCTGGTGGTCCAGAAAGGATAAGACCGGGCTGAAGAGAAGAGGGCCGTGACCGTCTGATGTTGAAGAAGCCAAAACACGGTCGCCAGGGTGAAGGTCGCGCATCTGTTTCGTAGCCCCGCCCTCCAGGATAACCTGAGCGTCGCCAGAGAAGCAACCACCGGTTTTGGCCGCCACTGAATGTTCTGGAGAGAGGAAAGAAAGAGAAATAAAATTACATGATTTGATTTCATTTAGTATTATTTATTGCATTTTCGGTGACGAGGATGAGGAGTCAAAACACAAACACAAAAGAATACAGATTGAATTTCTCTCAGGAGTTGAGTAACAGCGCAGCAACACTTTGACTTCTACAGTGGCTGCATGATCACTGAGTGATCTATAAAACAGGTGAGACTTTGACACTGACTCGAGGACAACTTTATCTCAGTGGATTAGTGGTAGATTGTTAACATATGTATATAATGTGCGTCATGTTCAAACTTTGTCTTGTCTGTCTGCCTCTGGCTCTCTCCTTATTCTTAGGCCTCAGTAACGCACACCTAAACACACTTCAGAGAAACATTTTATGTACAAGCGGATTAGCATTTCTATTAGATTTTATAAACTATTTTACTTTGTGTGTAAAGTATGTAAAAACACTAGTTTACCTGGGAAATACTACGCATTCTGCAATAGTAAGACATATGAATCGGTCTTAAAATCCATTATATTGTTTCCAAAAGTAGGAGGAAAGTGTTTTTTCTGAGGCTTGTCAAATGATCGGTTGGGTCACAGGAATGTGTTTCAGAACTTGTTTATAAAGAAATGTTTATATAATGTTGTTAAAAGACACCTTCACCTTCACTCTGATATGACATGTATGCCTATTTTTATATACAAATAATTAGAAATACTTTCTGCTCTTCTGTCAAGCTTTTCTCATTCATTTAGACTGCCCAATATACCACAGGATGTACATTTGATCTTCTTGGGAGGCATTTCTGAATAAGGTGGCCCTTTAAGACGCAGGGAGACGAAGTGGCAAGAAGAGGTAGTCAGTAAGAGCTAATGGATAACCAGCTGATTGTATCACTGCAGTCAGAGCACGGCCTGGGGTCAGAGAGACAGGAAAGCACACAGACTCAGACTTGGGTCTGGATACTGTTTGGATTACAGCAGAGTTTGTGTTTTAAACTGAGTCACATGACCACTCTCAATGGTTCCACAGAAGGAAAGGGCATTAGCACATTGTAATGAGCTTGATTCTTAACAATGAATTCTGCTGTTTTGGAAAAGAACTGGTGGAGTGACCTTAAAGAAACGGGTAGGATATAACAAGCAAGAACAACATATTTGCTAGAACGACTGAAGGGAAAATTTGTTTGAAATAAGAAATTCATCAGTATAAGTGTGTGTGTGTGTGTGTGTGTGTGTGGGGGGGGGTTGTCTTAAAGCAGTCTTAAGGCAGCCAAATATTTGTCCAAGGTGTGTGTGTCTGTTAGCCTGAGGGCTGCAGAAAAGGAGGGCTGTGACCGGGAGGTGATAAGACTTAGATAAGAGATCTGAGAGAAACCCACTGAAGGAAAAGCAACAGCAAAACAAAGAGAGAGTTAATCATCTCACAGCCTACTAACCTCAACGGACTGCTAGAATGTAGTTTGGCATCAAATAACTGGTGGTACCAGACATGGGTAAATGGATTTCTAACGTGTATCAAGAGTTAGAATTGCTGGAGGTTGAATGCGGTCATGCATTGTTTGCATAAGGACTGTATCAGATTTGAGTTTCATAAAGTGTGTGTTGGAGTAATGCAATTTAATATTAACCATGAAACTGGCAAATATTAAACAGTCAAATGTTGAAATACAGAAAGGAGAGTGAGATGTCAATGTAATATTAGCTATTGCACTGTCCCACCACAATACATAGCATAGCCTACATCCATGTAATAAATGGCACTCTCTCTGTGTGCACATTATACAGCTGAATATTCTACAGTCACAAAGAAAGAT